GGGAAGAAAAACCCGCAGCATCCTTATAGGCTCAGCAGTGCTATGTTGGCTAGCACTATGGAAGAAAGAGACTTGGGGGTCATCTTTGACCACAAGATGAACATGAGCCTGCAATGCGATGCGGCAGCTAGTAAAGCGACCAAAACTCTGGTTTGCATCCATAGATGCTTCTCAAGCAAATCCCAGGACGTCATTCTCCCCTTGTACTCGGCCTTAGTGAGGCCGCAGCTGGAGTACTGTGTCCAGTTTTGGGCTCCACAATTCAAAAAGGATGTGGAGAAGCTTGAGAGAGTCCAGAGAAGAGCCACGCGCATGATCAGAGGTCAGGGAAACAGACCCTACGATGACAGGCTGAGAGCCCTGGGGCTCTTTAGCCTGAAAAAGCGCAGGCTCAGGGGTGATCTGATGGCCACCTACAAGTTTATCAGGGGTGACCACCAGCATCTGGGGGAACGTTTGTTCACCAGAGCACCCCAAGGGATGACGAGGTCGAATGGTCACAAACTACTTCAAGATCGTTTCAGGCTGGACATAAGGAAGAATTTCTTTACTGTCCGAGCCCCCAAGGTCTGGAACAGCCTGCCACCGGAGGTGGTTCAAGCGCCTTCATTGAACACCTTCAAGATGAAACTGGATGCTTCTCTTGCTGGGATCCTATGACCCCAGCTGACTTCCTGCCCTTTGGGCGGGGGGCTGGACTCGATGATCTTCCGAGGTCCCTTCCAGCCCTGATGTCTATGAAATCTATGAAATCAATTTAGATTTAATTCAGGATAGGAAACAGCTGATTGAGAATCTAAAGGTGGAACATAATTAGGATGAAAATGATCATGAAACTAAAACTGCTCATGGGTCAGAGTCCTCGATTATGAGGAATGGAGTGAAATCAGCAAAATAATGTTTATAGACTTCAAAAATGGACTTCCCCAAAGTCAGGGAATTGATAGATTATGTCTTATAGGAAGGAATTTTAAAGAAAAAGGGAATCCAAGAGAATTGACAGTTTCTAAAACAGACAGTATTAATAGGCACATGAGCAAATTATCCCAGTGCAGAGGAAAGGTCAAGACATACAGAAAGAGATTAATATAGCTACATCAAGAGCTCTTTAATGACCTGAAAAATCAAAAAGTTATGATACAAAAGTAGAGAAAAGGATAAAATCCTGAGGATAAATCTGGAAGAATAGCATATACATGCAGCGTCAAAATCAGAAAGATCAAAGCACAAAACAAGTTATAACACACAAGGGACGTGCAAGGCAAAAGGAAATGGTTCTATGAATACTTTCAAAGTTAAAAGAAATGTAAAGAAAGTATAGATCCATGAGAAGGGAGAGCAAATTAAATGGCAGAGGAGGCTTCAGGGTCCAATGGCTTTTTAATTCAGTCTTTCCAAAAAAACGGTACTTACAACCAAATAAAAAAAAATAAAAACAAGAAAGGGGGTGCAATACAGAACAAAGCAAGGGGAAAAAGTTGTTTTTACACGTTTTATGTATTCAGGTCAGTAGAACCTGATGAAAATTGACATTCAAATATGGAAGGTACTAGCTAAACCACCTCTAAACCATTAGCAGTTATCTATGAAAACTTGTAAAGGGATAATTACGTTCTTCACTGAAGGACTAGAAAAGAAAAAAATATATACCTAGGCTTTTAAAAAAAAGGTGGTAGAGAAAAGAAGACCCCACTAATTGTAGACCAGTCCGCCTAATTTTAATACCTCATAAAAATGTTAGAACAAATTATTAAACAGTCTATTTGTAATTGGCCTTGTAGATAGGAGGTTGAGATGAGAGATAGAGGGGACTGTAGATGTGATATATCTTGACTTTAGTGAGACTTTTGACACAAGATCATCTAACATTCAGATATAAAACTAAGGAAATGTGGTTTGGAGGAATTATCATATTCAAAGAGTAATTGTCAATAGTTCAGTCAACCTAGGATGACATATGCAATGAGATCCCATAGGGATCTGTTCTTAGTCTTGTTCTAGGGAATGTTTGGCTTAATGATTTGGATGATGGAATAAAGAGTATGTTTTAAAAATTTGCACATGAATCAGCCTGGGAAGGCTGAAAGCCCGTTAGAGAACAATATTAGAATTCAAAATGATCTTGATAAATTGGAGAAACCATCTGAGATCTATAAGTTCAATAAACACAAGTGCAGAGTTAATTAATGAGAAGGAGAAAAGGAAATCAAATACATAAATACCAAATGGGGAACAAATTGCTATGCAGCAGCACTGCAAAAAAAGGAGGGGATGGTTATAGAGAAGCACAATTGAATACGGGTTAGCAGTTGTATTGAAAAAAAGCAAATGCCATTCTGGGATGTTTTAACAACAGTTTCATTCAATATACTCATAGTTATTCAGTATGGGGGAGGTTTGTCCTGAAGTGTTTTGTCTAGTTTTGGGTATGCCATCTTAAGAAAGTGATAGACCAACTAGAAGAGTCTACAACAAAAATAGTGATTGGTTTAGAAAACATAACCTTTGAGGAAAGTTGAATACAGCTATGTTAATTGTAAAAAAGGGAAGACTGGTATCAAAGCTGTGAACTATTGTTATGAAAAAGAGAGTGATCAGTTCTTATCCCATGTCCATCCTTAAGATACAACAAGAAGTTGGCTTAATGTGAAGTAAAGACTTAAGGGCATCATTTCTAATTTCTAATCTAGGGATAGTTAAGTAATTAAATAGATTTCTTAAGGAGGTTGTACAATGCTCACAGTGAGGTTTTAGAAACAGACCAGATGAATATTTCTCAGACTTTCTCTAAACAGACTTCCCTCAGAACAGATTTTTGGACTAGATGCCCCATCCAGCCTTTTATTTCTATTACTTCTTCCAATATCTTGCTAAATTATTCCCCCTTAAATTAAATTAAAGTAAAAAATACAGGCCAAGATACACAAAAAGGGTACTTCCTTTTTAGATATCTGCATGCAAGCAAGTAAATATAAATGTTATTGTTTGAGATAAAGATAGTAGGACTATCTGAGACTCAACTATGGTTTAAATCTATACATTATTAACGCAACTATTTACAGGTAAATAACATTTATTTTTCTTCTATATCCTTAGAACTACTGAACAACAGGACGACAGGTAAGGTTTTGTGATTAAAAATGCAGACACAAACTAATCTTAAATTGGTATTCATACCGTCATAAATCCATCCAGCAAACCTGAATCGGGTTTTGGAGGTGCTTGTAGTCTTTCCATTGACCATTTTTCAATGATGGAGGCCACCTGGCTATTTTCTGTGTTTAAGATTCTGAATCCAGTCATGTTAACGCCACTATACCGGTATGGTTCCACATCAAGAGCAAAAAGATCCTGAAAGACATATTCCTTAGATAAATGCTATGACAATGCTTAATTCAATTGTTTAACCATCTCTCCAGATACTAATGCTAAAACATCCATATCAGCATACATGCACATTGTACTATATGTTCCATTTATAGTTTAGGGTTCTATTTCCTATTTTCCTCCACATGGGAGTTACTTATAACATACTAAGAGAAGAACATATTCCATAGCCATTAAAAAAGCGAAAGTTAAGTCCAATGCTGAACTGTATTGCCTATGATATCGGTTACAAATATTCTACAAAGTTTAATCACATTTTTAAATTATTTCCTAATTTAATGATCACTTTTTATGGTTGCTAGATACGGATTTAAAAATGACAAAATTAAAGAAAATGACAGATTCTCTGCATTCTCCTCAAACTATTTTTTGTGGTTAAGTATTACCCACATGTCCAACTTTTATCTTGCTCTAGCACCTGTAACATTTTTCACATTATTGAGATACAGAATAACTTGTAGACAATTACTCTCTTTGCTCATAAAAAGGGAACAAATTTAAAAGTTCATTATGAAGGTTAAGCATTTTCAACTGAATGGCACAGAAGTGCATAGACTGTATTTTTTTCACATATTCTGATACCAGTTCATTTATGGAATTTATTTAACTATGATAATATTTATAACCAAGATATATTTAGACTTAAAAAATTATAAGCGCTGTTAGGGAATGAGTCCTTTGGGGGGGGGGGGGTGTTGATGCTGGGTTATTGCATTAGTTTTAAGTTTTCTTTAAAAAAAAAAAAAAGTAAGAAATTTAAGATTAACCTATTTCAATATTATGGTCTCAATTTTTCAATTTGAACTTCAGAATAGCCTGCAGGTAAAATATTATGTCCAGAGCTCTACATTAAGGCATCCTAATGCACCATCAGGGCTTAAATATGAAAACATGTAAAAGGAATTTTATGAAAAAAGGATGTTTCTTTGATGACTCATTAGGCACACCTTCAACAAGCATGAAAAGCTTTAGTACAATACAGTAATAGTACTTTTACAACAAAACCATCTTTTTTATGATTTAGTAATGCATTGTCTGCCCTACATATACTACATGATTTATTTTGTTAAATATAGCCTCATTATATGTTGTAAAATGACACTACTTGTCTTTTAGCATCTTTCAGCACCTTACATTTTTTAAACGCCAGTTTAACATATTCTAGGTTTCTGTGAAGCGAGAAGGCTAATATTGCTGAAAACATTTATTTACTTATTGGAGGGAAAGCTAAGAAATAGCCACACTCTAAGAAAACAGTGTATGAATTGCTTATTGTTCATACTAGAACTTAAAAATAATCTCAAACCACATAACTGTCTCTATTCTAGTTAGGAATTATGGCACTATTTGCCTTATAGAGTCTAAGATGTTCTGAACTTGTTTGCTGTACAACATCTATTTACAAAAATCCATATTTGTGTCCTTATTTCAAAGACACCATACAGTCTAGCACTGGAAAAATAATCAAAAGAAATGAGAAACTGTAGCTACATTCTTTCAGAATTTCTTTCCTGTTAAATTTCAATGTATTCAAACACCTCCATAAACATAATAGATAGATAGATAGATGAATGATGTTTCATCACTAATTGTTTAATCTAAACACATCCATGTTTACACAAAAGTGTAACAAATATACACAACAGCTCAGTGTATTAATAACCTAGTGCATTAGAACCCTGAATCATTGAGGAATGTGGTTCCAGAGACTGCTCTACCCAGTGACTGCAAATTTTATTTGACAGGATTTTTACTGTGTTAGGCATATTCCTACTAATAAATCTAAATATTTTAAACTTAGATGCAAGCTACAGATGCTGTATTGCAGCATCAAAATCTATCGTCTGGTGGTGGGTACCAAATTATTGTTCTTCCTGTCTAAGTCACATCTGATCTCTGACTCTTCTGTACAAATCAAGTGTTCAAATCAGCAAATGGAAATACTGAATTACAGCAAAATCCTGATTTTTAAGATGTAGTATCAACTCTTACATAGATATAGATGTAGTGTAAACAAATATTGTGGGAAGGTAAATTACTCAAAGCAGTGATTCTTACCAGTAAACCAAATGAAAATATAAAAACAGAATGGAGACCTCTGGAATCAGCTGTTATGTTAGAGAGACTGAATAGGGGACTTTTAGTACATACATTCCTAACATCTTTGATGTCCACAAAAGCAGTACCATTTACATTTCCAAAAGAAGAGGGACTCTAAATAGGACATTAGGTTTTTACCTATCTAAAGACATTCAGAATTAAGAGTTATTTTGCTAACCATTCAATACTCAGGCTGTGATAATGCAGCTGTTCCTAGTGTCTTATTAACCTCTATTCTAAGGCTGGGATGAATTGTTCATTGTAGCATAAAGGCCTCATTTCAGCAAGGTACTTAAGCACATATGTCATTTTAAGCACACAAGTAGTTCCACTAAAGTGAATCTACTCAGATATTCAAAAAATGACAAATATCCAAACAGCCTAGCTAAATCACAGCCTCAATGTATCCATTTTGATCTAATGAGAGCAAGATAAAAGTTTTTTGATATGTATTTCTCAGAGTGAGACTTGAAAAATAATTTCTAACTTCCTCACTAGTAAGACCCTCACATATAACTAGAAAGACATGGAAATGTAGAGCTGATTAAAGAGTTCACTGTGAATATTCGATCACATTTGAAAGCATAGTTAAGTTTAAAGTATGTCCGTTTTTTAAATGTACTAACATAATGAACAATGAGTGTTCCCATATTCATCAAACTGATGTTTAGAGCTGGTTAGCGATGTTAGTCTGAAGGCAGACAGAAATAGGGCAGCGTGGCAACTTAAGGCCCCTCTGCATATGCAGGTAAAGGTGCAACAGGATCTAGTGCAGTTAACATTAGGGGCTATAGGCTGTACAGGCGGGATAGAGAAGGCAGAAAAGGGGGGGGGGTGGCACTCTATGTCAAGGAGCACTACACATCCTCTGCCAGCAGAATGGGGTCAGGGGAAGGGCAAGCTGAAGTGCTCTGGGTCAAGATCCAGGGGGGGCAAGGCGAGAGGGATTTGACGGTGGGGGTCTATTACAGACCCCCCAATCAAGAGGAGGAGCTGGACAGGGAATTTTCAGGCCAGCTTGCGGAGACACTAAAAGCAAGGGATGTAGTTGTCATGGGCGATTTTAATTACCCGGACATCTGCTGGGAGGAGCAGTCAGCCGGGACGGACCGCTCCAGGAGGTTCTTGGCCGAGTTGCAGGACCTCCACTTGATTCAGGAGGTGCACAGTCCCACCAGAGGCGATGCCCTGCTGGACCTGGTCCTGGCCGCAGGCGACGACCTGGTAAGAGGCCTCCAGGTTCTTGACCACCTGGGCAATAGTGATCATCGCGTGCTGGAATTCACCATCCAGCGTAGCGTGTCAAGGGCCCGCAGCAAGGTGGTAGCCCTAGACTTCAGGAGGGCCAACTTCAGTGAGATGAGGAGATTAGTGGGAGAGGAACTGGGGTCCTTGAGGGCAGAGGAACTCAGCGTCCAAGAGGAGTGGTCGTTCCTTAAGGAAACGATACTCGGGGCCCAAGGGGTGTCCATCCCGACAAGAAGCAAGGCGGGCAGGAGTGTCCAAAAGCCCCCCTGGCTCACCAAGGGTGTCCGGGAATGCCTGCTTGCCAAAAGGGTGGCGTACGCCCGGTGGAAGGGGGGTGTAATCTCCAAAGAGGAGTATACCTCCTCTGCTCGGGCCTGCAGGCGGGCTGTTAGGAAGGCCAAGGCGGAGATAGAGCTCGGATTAGCGTCCAGGATTAAGGATAACAAAAAGTCCTTTTTCAAATATATTGGGAGGATGAAGAAGGCGCCGGGTAATGTGGGGCCCCTGCAGGATATGCGGGGCAATCTGGTGGTTGCGTCAGAGGATAAAGCGGACCTCTTTAACCAATTCTTCACCTCCGTTTTCTTGTGCAGGGACCGGGACTTCCCTGCTGTGATAGAAGCCGGACGCGAGGGGATCGCCTTCAGACCTCAGGTTGGGGAGGACCGGGTTAGAGAGCTTCTGGAGGGGCTGGACGCGTTCAAGTCAGCGGGTCCGGATGCTCTCCACCCCAGGGTGCTGAGGGAGCTGGCTGGGGTTATTGCAGGGCCCCTGGCACGGCTCTACGAGCGATCGTGGTGCTTGGGCCAGGTGCCAGACGATTGGAAGGTAGCTAATGTGGTCCCCATCTTCAAAAAAGGGAAAAGGGAGGACCCGGGCAATTATAGGCCCGTCAGTCTTACCTCAATCCTGGGGAAGCTCTTTGAGAAGATCATCAAGGAGCACATTTGTGATGGGCCGGCATCCGAGATGATGCTCAGGGGCAATCAGCATGGATTTATTAGGGGGAGATCATGTCAGACCAACCTGATTGCCTTTTATGATCAGGTCACAAAGGCCATGGATGCAGGTGTCGCGGTGGATGTAGTCTTTCTGGACTTCAGCAAGGCCTTTGACACCGTCTCTCACCCCATCCTAATTAGTAAACTAGGCGACTGTGGCATAGATGCCTACACGGTCAGATGGATTGCAGATTGGCTGAAGGGTCGCACTCAGAGGGTGGTGGTGGATGGATCATATTCGACTTGGGGGGAGGTGGGTAGTGGAGTCCCTCAGGGCTCGGTCCTGGGCCCTGCGCTGTTCAATGTCTTCATCAGCGATCTTGATGTTGGGGTGGAGAGCAACCTGTTTAAATTCGCTGATGACACCAAAATTTGGGGGGAGGTGAGCACGCTAGCAGGGAGAGAGAGATTGCAGAAGGATCTGGATAGGTTACAGGGGTGGGCAGACAGGAACAGGATGCGTTTCAATACGGACAAGTGCAGGGTGCTGCACTTGGGTAGTAGGAACCAGCAGCACACTTATAAGATGGGGAGCTCCCTACTTGAGAGCACGGAGGCGGAAAGGGATCTTGGTGTCATTATTGACTCCAAGATGAACATGGGCCGACAATGCGAGGTCATGGTTGGCAGGGCTAACCGGACCTTGTCGTGCATCCACAGGTGCATCTCGAGTAGAGCCAAGGAGGTGATCCTCCCCCTCTATGCGACGCTGGTCAGGCCGCAGCTGGAGTATTGTGTCCAGTTCTGTGCGCCCCATTTCAGGAGGGATGTGGACAACATGGAGAGGGTCCAGAGGAGGGCCACCCGCATGATCCGGGGACAACAGGGCAGACCCTACAGTGAGAGACTGCGGGACTTGAACCTATTCAGCCTCCACAAGAGAAGGCTGAGGGGGGACCTGGTGACCGTCTATAAACTCACTAGGGGGAACCAGAAGGGTTTGGAGGAGACGCTGTTTCCCCTAGCCCCCGCTGGCATAACAAGGAGTAATGGGCACAAGTTGATGGAGAGGAGGTACAGATTGGACATCCGAAAAAACTACTTCACAGTTAGGGCGGCTAGGAGCTGGAACCAACTTCCAAGGGAGGTGGTGCTGGCCCCTACCCTGGGGATCTTTAAGAAGAGGCTGGATACTTACCTGGCTGGACTCATTTGAGTCCCGTTTTTGTTTTTAGGGTTTTTTGTTGTTCTCCCGCCCTGGCGGGGGGTCGGGCTAGAAGATCTATTAGGTCCCTTCCGACCGTAAAACTATGAAACTATCTCACAATCATGCCTCCTGCCATGCACGTGTGGATCATGCATTAGATCCCACTATGCCTTATTGCTGGTGCAGGACAAGCCCAATCCTGCCCTCCATCCCTCACCTGCACTGACAAGAAGCAAACTCCCATGGATGGGAGCACCCTCAGGTAAGGAGTTTCCATCTGTGAGGGCACCCCATGCACCCCTGGGCCTGGGAGATCATTGCTGTTTTGGTCTCCCAGCCCTAGGTTTGTGTGAAACCCCTGGGTCTGGGAAGATCACAGCTGCCATGGTCTTAAGGTCTGGGAAGATCACAGCTGCCATGGTCTTAAAGCCCCAGGCATGTCTGTAGTACTCCTGGGGCTTGGAAATGGCAGGCATGGCCCATGGTTGCTGGGACCCAGCTGCATCCCAGAACCAGAAGGTGAACTGCTAGGGCCCAGTATATGCGGCTCCAGGACTATGGGTCCCAGCCACCCTGTGGCACTCCTGGAACTAGAGTTGGCTGTTGCCAGAGCTGAGTGGGACTCCCAGCCTCAGCCAGGCATGACTGATACTACTCCCAGCAGCCATGGGAGCCCCTGTTACACATCCAAGTTAAAGCTGGACACCAGCTAGCTGTAAAGCTAGTACATGTTTTAAAGGTCTATTTTTCCACCTGGTCGAACCTTTTTGGCCAGGTACAGACATTATACTTTTACAGGTAGAATGATTGGAAATTGGTCTGTACCTGTAACAGAACAGAAGTTTGGCATTCAAAACCAGTCTATACCCATAACAGAACAGAAATTCAGCACATGGACTGGTTTAAAAATAGTGGAACCACGTCTTAAATTTGCTTCCCTCCTCCCCCCGCCAAAGGGTGAATGTGTTTTCTGTTCACTACCAGTCAAAACTATGCCACTTACAGAAAACCATGCAACTTAGATCAATTCCACCGCAGGTTTTTATGAATGTCTGTACCTAGGCCTTTATAGCATGATAGGTACTTTGCACAGGTAGCTGCTTTCAGTTAACTGCATAATTAACCAGCTAATTGTGCAATACCTGTAACGTGTAGATGGGGCCTCTGAGAATAGCTGGCTTTAAGGGGCATTAGCTATCATAGGCAACAACCCACTTTGTTAGATGCTATAAATAGACAGATGTTTGTATTGTATATAAAATTCTGAAGTTTTTCATTCCTACAGAGCTGATGGCTTACATAAAAGGAAAGACACAATGTTATATGACATATATAATTACCATCCCATAGATCATTTTACATTATGAGTTTCAAATATTCACAGCAAATTATTCGGGAATGATCTTCAAACCATTTTTTGGGGTTTTTTTGCTAAAAAATAAGCAGGTAACTTAGAACCATGAATCTATTTCAGAATTTTATAATCTGTAAATGAACACATGAGAAAAATATTAATTATTTGTGGAGTAAATTATTCATTATTAATTATACTGTCAGCTCTTCTTACACAGTTAGAAACAGCAATGGTATTAAAATAAGAAGTTCTCAGGTCTATCAGTTTCCAGGATATAATGCTGAACATTAATTAAACCATCCTCATGAGTTTTCTTTGAAATGTAACAAAACTTGATGGAGAAAATATCCCATTTTCATACCAACATCCCAAGAGAGCTCTTCAACATTGTCAAGTAATGTAATTAAGAAAGCTAAGGCCTTTGTTTTATGTCTTTAGAATGTTTTTATAAGCTACTTACCAGTGTGGTAAAGATATAATGATAGTATTCTGTCATCATTCCCATAGCTAAAGCCTGAAAAAATAAACAAAATATTAATATTACTGAGGTCACATAACACACTTTTATCACACATATATGGCAAAAGAAAAGCAGTAGTAGAACACTACAGGGATCAATCAGACTATAGGTTGGAATTGCACTAAAATTAGGTCAAGCAAATCATTCCTTAGCAGTTAGACCAGATTACTGACTATTAAAGGAATTTATGAAGCAGATCTTCTGGCAGAAAGAATATTATTAAAATGTTTGGAGCAGTAGAAGTGAAAGAGGCTCATACTTTTACATATTAATGGGTATATTAAGTTGCCACACAAAAACTGAACGGAGAATATTTTCATTTATTGTTTTTATGTCTCCACTAAAAAAAAACTAAACACAATTCTACTTTGATGAACTATACTACTCAATTTAAAAAGTGTTGGCAAACCAACATAAGGAAACTGGTAGGACTAGTTTGGGCACTTTAACCACACTTCTGTAGCATTAATAGAGCACAGCAAATATTGTCATCATTACTCAAAAAGAACAGACACCTAGCAAGTACATTTCCCTGTCTTCCTAATCATACGGCATTGTATCATTGTAACTCAATTCTGCATTTTAAATGTATCATACTTTTTTTGGCAGAATAGGGTCAAATGTTCTAAAATACAGTTTTAAATCAGTAGTCTGGGAATCTCTAATTATTCTAATTCATTATTATACGACCTTAAAAGGACAGTTCCAATCTAAAAAACAACTGTGCAAAAAAGGCACCTTCTTGATCTGTAGAGCAGCTCTCTTTGTTTATCAAGATTTACATCCAGTCTTTTCAGTAATTAAAATAAGTTACTAGCTACTTTTTCATGCTGCACAATATAGTCATAGAGGAGGTAACTTCAGATCCCATTCCTTAGGCCACAGATCCATCCACAGAAGTTGCAGGTCTTTCTGTGGGGGAGAACAGGCTGCAGGCTGGGATTCCTCTCCTTTCTCTGCTTTCTCTTCTCTGATTCAAGGGCAAGATGCTTTACCTAGAAATGGGCTGCCTCTTTGTTAAGGATGTAGTGCCACTGGAATTGGTGGGCAGCCAGTTCCCATCAACTCTCGATGCTGGCATCTATTTTCTTGAGGTATGTTTTCAATGCATCCTTGTAGCATTTATCCTGGCCATCATGAGATCTCAAGTCACGGTTAAGATGGGAGTAGAGCATTTGTTTTGGGAATTGAGAATCAGGCATCTGCACACAATGTCTAGTCCAATGGAGTCAGTTCTCAAGGATCACTGACTCTATGCTAATAACATTGGCTTCAACAAGGATGCTGATGTTTGTGCAGCCATCTTCCCATTTGATGTGGAGGATTTTCGGGAGGCATTGTATGTGATATATCTCTAGGCTCTTGAAGATGATGACAGTAGGTCACCCATGTTTCACATCATAGAGGAGAGTGGGGATGAGGGCTGCATTGTAGATCTGGATCTTCGTGTCTTTCCACAGATTGTGATGAATAAAAAGACACACCAAAGCCATTTCCCAGAGGAAACACTTGAGCACCAGATCCTGTGCTGGATCTCCTCATCAATGTTCACTCTTTGAAAGAAGTGGCTACTGAAGTAGGGGAAGTGCTCAACTACCTGGGAAAGAGGGTAATTTGAGTAAGTGGGGGTGGGGGGTGGTCACATTCATGGCCTGGGGCAGGCTGATAGAGCACTTAAGTCTTCTTGATTATGTGAGACAGGCCCACATTTTGACAGGCTTCTCTGAATAGATTGAGTATCATCTGGAGGTTTTTTTCAGGGTGTGCAAGGATGGTACACTTGACGACCTATTGAAGGTCTAGGATGATTATTTTGTGTACTTTGGTCTTTGAGAAAAAACATCCCAGATTGAACAGCCCTCCATCCATTCAGTATTCAATGTTAATTCCAAAAGGAAAGAGGTTCTTAATGAAAACCAGGAGGACTGTCAAATAAATGGTGATCAGAGTTGGGGCAATGAGGCACCTTTGCTTGTGACCCCAGTTCAGATGACTAATGGATCTGTCTCCAATCTACTACACAGAACAGTCACAGCCATTTGATGTTGAAGCCTCAGTACCTTGATGTACTTTTCAAGGACATCCAAATCTAGCCAGTACTTTCCACAAGACTTTGTGACTGATGGAAGCAAAGGCCTTAGTAAGATCAATGAAGGCCATATACAGGCTCTGATACTGTTCCTGGCACTTTTCTTGGACCTGGTGGGCAACAAAGGTCATGTCAGTTGCCGCAAAGAATGGTCTGAAACCACAATGAGATTCTGGCAGGGCTTCCTCAACACATGGGAGAAGACTACTTAGGAGAATGTGGGAGAGGATTTTCCCTGCTATGAAAAGGAGGGTGATACCTCAATAGTTTTCCCATATAAAACTTATCTCCTTTCTTGAAGATGGTCATGATGTTGGCAGTTCCCAGGAATCTCTTTGTTGATCCACATTCACAGAATAAATTCATGAAGTCTCAGTTCCAGTTCCTTGTCACAGGCCTTGTAGATTTCAGTAGGTATGCCATCTGGTCCAGTAACCTTGTTGTTCTTGGTTTCCTGGATGGCACGCCAGATTTCTTCTAGGGTAGGAGGGTTGGCAAGTGAGCCCCTTTCAGGGTGTTGGGAGATGGACTCAGTGGTGGAATCTATCACAATCAACTCACGTGCTTCTTCCATTTAGCTTGTGTAGCTTCATTGTCTTTGAGGAGTACTGAGCCATCCTACAAATTGCAAGGAAATAGGATGATGGGAAGTTGGGCTGTAAATGTTTTTTGTTTTCTGTAAAAAACTACACATCATGTTTGTCAGCATAGATCTGGGTTTCCTTGGCTTTATCTTGTCACCACTGATTGTTGATGTCCCAGATCCTCCTTTGAACTTCAGCTTTGAGAAGCTGATATGTTTCCTTCTGCTGAGATGAGGTGAGCTCTTGTCTTCTGCTCAAAGGGGGCTTGCATCTCAGAGTCACTTTCATTGACCCAGTCTTTTTGTTGATAGGTGGTACAGTCAATGGATTTAGCACAGGCGAGATGGACAGCAATTTTAAACCCCTTCCAGGGTTCCCCAATGTTGTCTTCATTTGGGTGCAGGGCAGACAGCTTTTCATGGAGGGTACTGTTGGCATTCCTTGCAGACCTTATGGTCTTGAAGAGGTTTGGTATTGAGAGTCCTTCACATTGCTTTTCACTGTTTTTGGTGTTATGGAGCAAGGCAGATGTTCATAACAGATCTCACAAGACAGTGATCTGTCTAGCAATTATAGGTTCCTCACATGACTCTCATGATATGGATATTCAGTCACAGGGTCTAGCAATAACATAGTTCAGGAGGTAGCAGTACTTAAAGTGATGGTGCCTCCAAGTGGCCTTGTATTTGCCTCTGTCTGAAGATGGTGGTTGGGATGACAAAAACATTATCCACACATTCGCTTAGGAGAAGGATGCCATTGGAATTGGCTTTCCCTAGTCCTTCCTTTTCAATGGTGCCACTCCAGAGTTCCAGGTCCCATCCAACTCTGGCATTGAAATCACCAAGGAGAATGATCAAACAGGGATGGAAAAGGATTACACTTCAAGATTTAAATGTCTTAACATCATTTAAGCATCACTTAGTGCCCAGTCTTCCACATTGCAGGCAAATGGGATAATAATAGAGCTCTCTCTTCCTAATTTTCTATCTTCCAGAATTTTTACCTGATAAGTGAATTTTATTCTGCTTCCACCTTCTACAAACTCTCACTCAGATTTCTCTTCACTTACCTCTCTGATGCTACACAATTTCTATTGGCTTTCTGGTTTGCTTTCCTCAGCTTTCTTGACACCATTTCCATAGTCTGTCTTCCTTGTCATACTCTTTCTGCATATACTGATCTCTTTCCTAATGCTTCTGAAATCATTTTTTAAAATCTAACTAACTGCCTGTATTGACACTGCCCATCACACTCATTCCCTAGCCCAATCAACTAGTTCATCTTCTGATCCCCGTATTTCTCTCATCTCTACACCCACAGCTTAACTCTTGATCCTTCCAAGCAATTCTCTGTCCAAATCAATCCTCTTCTCTTTCCTTGGCTTCTTGGTAAATTCAAGATGCCTCAGAATGTTGACCCCATTATGCAATGCAAGTCACTCCCTCAACTCCCACCAAAAACAATTTTTGGTCTATGTTCAATTTATCTATATAGTTTTGCCTCTGTTGCCAAAAGACTTAGGCTTCAAAGCTGCTTCCTTCCTGCCCAAGACTGATTGTGCATCAGGAATGAAGCAAACATTTAGCAGGTGCTACCCTGCCCAAATGCAGGCAGAGTCAATAGAAATTCTAAACTGCTCCCAGAGCCCCTTGCACAATCCTTGAAGTGAGGATTTCCCTTTCTTCCTTTCCCAGTGAGGACTTATTCAAAGAAGCACACTCTCCGTATTATCCTGGCTCCAGCAGCTACTGGGGTTGCTGCTTAATAGAACAGAACTCCCTGCTCATACAGGAAAGCAGCATTTGAGTGCTTTGGACAATGCACAGAAGAGTGGTAGAAAGGAATAGAGAAGTGATGCTCCTACTGAATTCCTGCAGAAGTGAGTCTGAGAACCAAACTTTATTGTCACAGTCCAAGCTGATTTTACTTGACTGATACTTGGCAAGTTTTTCTTTTGAAAAATTTCTCTCTCTTTTGTAATGGACTTAACTGCATTAGGTATTCATACGCTGAGACATAACAAACATCCAGACCCAAAATTACATTATTACAGACAGTTTTCAAAGCACAGGCTCACTTTCAGCTAAAGTACCAAGGTCAGACTCAACTGTTTAAAGCATGACAATTTATTAAGAGAATGGCTTCACCTATCTTATTTCTTCATTATCAAGAGTGAACAAAATGGAAAACTCAAAAAGGCAGATTTTGAAATGATGAAAACAAGCTCTTATGAAAAAGGTCCCTATTTCTCCTTCCTATCAGATTCACTCTTTCATGGATTGACATAGTTTACTTAAACTATTTAAAATTTGAAATATCTAAACAGTTTGAATATTAATCTAGGGAATCTTACACATTATTAATCTTCTAATTTTCTTCTCTAATAAATTAGGAAAACAATTAGGAAATAATAGTATATTTACCTCCTATTATGTAAATGCAAGAACAGTTTTTGGCAGGAACATGGGAGAGAAAGAGTGGAAAGGGGAACCTGGATATGTTTAACATTTTGTTCCCTCTAGCACATATTTGTTTTTGCTGATGCTGGATACTGTGAAAAACCCAGTTTGCTTTTCACCTAAGTTCTATTAGGTGCATTATAAATAATGCAGCTTGATGGATTTATTGTTAAAGTTATTGGCTGTCAACACCATTAATACATATTTTGCACCTACATTTTAAGGTGTTTGAATAATTAAACATGCATTCAGTGATTGTTATGAGACTGCTAATATAAGACTGGCTTGTACATAGATGAGAATATGAACAAATGTGCTCTTTTCAATAGTGGAAGAAAATGTAAAATTATTGTGACCACAAAAAGTATTTGAATAAATTCAAGATAAAAAGAGGAATTTTTGTGTCTGTGAGAGAGAGAGGGACAGAGAGAACATAATTAGCACTGGTGAGTTAATATGCATTAAGAACATAAGAAGTGCCATAATGGGTCAGACCAATAGTCCATGTAGTCTAGCATTCTGCTCTCCAAAGGTGAGCCCAGCATTCTGATCTCCAACAGTGGCAGAAATGGATGTTATAGATGTAAATCATTGAACTGGATCGCTCTAGAGTGATCCCCTATTCAATATCCTCCCTGACACCCAGCATTATTGGTTAACAGATGCCAGAAGAAACATCTCCAACCATTCTGTTCAATAGCCAGTAATATATCTATCATCCAGGAATTTATTTAGTCCCTTTTTGAGCAGAGCTATGATATCTGCCTCCCCCACCTCCTGTGGCAATGAATTCCACAAATTAACTATGTGTTGCATAAAATAAATCTTTACTCTTGTTAGTTTTAAGCCCATCACCTTCTAGTTTCAGTGGGTGCTCCCTAGTTCCAGTAATATCATAGTGTCTTTAAATGTGAGAGCTCTTAGTTGATGATTGAAAAACTACCCTAAATACACAGAATTTGTACTGGTGTCCAGAAAAATGCAATCAGTCTATTAAAATGAATGGTGTAAAAATAAAGGTGCATTAATATTGTTATTAAAATTGCATATTAGTAATATATGTTTTGTCCTTTTTGTTTCAATTATCTTTCCAAACCCAATTATTACTTCAAATTCATTAATATGAACAAGCTAATAATATTACCACATTTTCCTTCTAATAGTGAAGTCTCACCATCAAGTGCAGCTCAGTTAAATTAGGTGTGAGAAGAAGCACCATTGAGGTAACTAATTCCTCATTCACTGAAGATACAGAACAATAATGAAGTCAGTCAGGAGATACTAATGCACCCTCATCCTCTCCTACATGGATACAGTGGAAATGAAGCAATTTGACTCTGCTCAGTGCCCTTTGCATTCATAGCTAGAAGGCACAGAAAATTTGCCCCTAGGAAAATGTTTAAGGGGAATTAACAATATGAGCAATTTTCTTAGTAGAACATATTTGTATGCTTATCTCGTATGGAAAAGTGATGCGTAATTGACAAACGTACGCTGGTGGTTTGTCAACTCAGTATCTCTTCTATTATTTAATCATGTCATTGGAAATCTTGTTATATATGAAATACAGTAAAATTAGAAATCATAGTTAAAATTGTTCATTTGCAAAATAACACCAAATAAATATTTCAAATTTCTGTTCAAGTGCCAATGCATGATTGTAGAATCAATAGTGCATTCATCATTAGATAATACCAAATGTGTTTCCCTAGATAAAAAAGTATGTTGGAAAATAGATTTGTCTCCTTATACAGAGATGAATATAATTCCTACAAAAATGAAAAGAAAGCTGCTTTCATGAAAGTTTCATATCAAAGTATCTCAAGGGGGTTTAGTCAATTTTCCATAAAGTCCTCAGAAAAACTGACACACAATCCCTGGACTGTTAAAGTTCATCAAGACTGAGTGTTCCTTTTATTTATTAGGGATGAAGAAGATTAGGCCATCTGAAGTGAGGTGTTGATTACCTGTTTTAAAATGCCTGCTGCCATCTCATGACTGCAGTCAAAGATTACATGGAACTCCTTGCCTCTTTTCATCTCCTTTAGTAAAGGCTTTGCATCCTTTGTGTCAGCTGGTAACTGACGGATTTTTAGTCTCAGGTTGTACCGCGATGGAGCCTTGATGAGCTCTTGTAATCGAATAAGGCCTTAAAGAATATACAAAGGATAGAGGAAAGGAAAATTATCAAAACAAGAATGTGATCTTGCAAAAAGAGTATCTTATTAGAGTATTTGAATTTCATTCTCTCCTCATGCATATATGTTACAGTGTGGATATGGAAAAATGCACTTTTTATGTACTCCCAGTGCTTTCTTGTCATACTTCTTTCTTCTTCTTTAATATTAATAGACACTAAGCAGGCCTGAGTTAGGATTACCTTCAGGGATGCAGACAAATCTTCCTTTTGCATTATCATGGAGCTATGACTTTCCACTCTAAAGTATATATATAATTATTCTAATTCAATTAACGCAACATCCCAGACTAATAGTTTGTAATCAGACTACTCTTCTCATGACTAATCTATCAGGTTTATATACACAGTTTCAGTTCATTACAGCACTGTGGAACATTCTCACAAAATCCACATCAGACTACTAACCGAGTTAATTTCTCTTCTTTAATTATACAATTAAGGAAACACATTTAAGCAGCAGCAAAGGCACCAAAATGGCCTATTCAATAAACACTTGACTCCTGCTGTTTCATTCTTCTTTTATATTCTATAAAACGTTTTGGATTACTTTGTTTTTCCAGTGGAATTACATGCATGGAAATTCCTCAAAAATCTTTTGGTTTATATTAGTATGACAGTGCCCGCACGGTTTACAGACCATTGGTCTGTGACCAACACTAAACATCACGTTATTTAACATTATTGAAAATGACAGAGTAAAAGTAGACCATCTCTAAAATAACAGCTCATTTCAATGTTAGCAAGAAAGATGTGCTCTTTTGTGCAAACTTGTATCATGGCACGTACTTTAGGGCTAAGAATCTATTAAACCTATATGTTTAAATAACTGCTTGCCCAAAAATATTCATCTCATCTCAGATATGCTGTTTTGCCATGGGGAGGTGCTTATCTTTCCCATTCTCTCAGACAACTGCCTAGTGTATCTACAGAGAACGTAAGTACTGAGCTACCTACAGACTGCTAGTAAGAAATCTAAGAATGAGGGGGTTAACTCCCACCCCTCAGGCATTTGACTTGATTCTCTTCCACTATCTTAGGATCCAAATCATCTCAAGAAAGTGGAGCCATCTGCTTTTTGTTCAGTAGCCTATGGTTAGTTCAGGTTTCTAGAAGTGTCCTAACATCCAGGCTACGGGCTAGGGTATTCTTTATCCCTTCTTTTGAAGTTGGATCACTGGACAAAAAGTAATGCAAGAATCATGGGCAAATGGACTACCTAAGGTGGAATATAATTCTGTAGACCAAAGAAAAGGACCCTCTCTTGGAAGGGACAGAGCCCTGTGTTCTGCTTCTTGCTCCCATCCCTGTTTATTCATTTTGCATGTAATAATCAATGGATATAATATCTTTAGAAGTAGGAGTCAGAGCCTAGGGTTCTCTTCCAACTTGTAATCTATTCACTGTGCTAGTCATGCTCCATCTAACTCACAGCCCAGCATGAACAGCATTTTTCTGGGGAAAAGAGATGCTAATTCAAATGCCCTCAGCTCCACTGATACCTAGCACTCATATCCCCCTCATTTCCTAGGCACATGCCCTGGCCACTAAGCTACAGGCAAGAAGTCATTTCTCCCTTTCCTCTCCTAGTGCTTAAAACTGAAATTCATGTTTAAAAAGTAGATGTATTAATAGTTTTACAGGGGCTCAGTCAGAGTGGAAAACAACTGCACTTCAAGACTCAAATGTCTTAACATCATTTAATTATCCCTTAGTACCAATCTATGCTCTGCCATCTAATGCTCAGAGTGATCTTCATGAAAACAGCCCTACCCATTTGCTCATGCTTTGCAGACATCACATGTTAGAAAAAAAAATGTAGTTACTTATAGGGACACACTTGGGATACAGCTAGGACCGATATTATTGGGAACAAAAGAAAGGCCCAGGGTGGAATAGGACCGCTACTGAACGGGCAAAAGCAATTGGTGACGGACAGTGGGGACAAGGCTGAACTCCTCAATGAGTTCTTTGCCTGAGTGTTCCTAAACAAGGGGCAAGACAAGTCTCACAATGGGATTGTAGAGAGACAATAGCAGGACACCAGGGTACCAAGCATTGACCCTGAGATATTGCAGAGTCACTTGGAAGAACTGGATGCATTTAAGTCGGCAGGCCCGTATGAGCTCCATCTGAGGGTACTGAAGGCACTGGCTGATGTCATTGCACAGCCACTGGCAAGAGTATTTGAACACTCATGACGCATGGGCCAGGTCCCGGAGGACTGGAAAAGGGCCAATGTGGTCCCTATTTTCAAGAAGGGGAGGAAGGAGGATCCAGGCAACTATAGGCCAGTTAATCTCACCTCCATCCTTGGCAAAGTCTTTGAAAAGATTATTAAGGCTCATATATGCAAGAGCCCAGCAGGAAAAATTATGCTGAAGGGAAACCAGCACGGGTTCGTAGCAGGTAGATCATGCCTGACTAATCTAGTCTCTTTTTACGACCAGGTTACAAAACACCTGGATGTAGGAGTAGGGGTTGACATCATCTACTTAGACCTCAGGAAGGCCTTCGATATGGTATCTCACCCCATACTGGTGAACAAGTTAAGAGGCTGTGACTTGGATGATTACACAGTCCGGTGGGTGGCAAATTCGCTAGAGGGTTGAACCCAGAGAGTGGTGGTAGATAGGTCGGTATCGACCTGGATGGACGTGGGTAGTGGGCTCCCACAGGGCTCAGTCCTTGGACCGATATTCTTTAATGTCTTCATCAGTGACTTGGACGAGGGAGTGAAGTGTACTCTGTCCAAGTTTGCAGATGATACAAAACTGTGGGGAGAAGTGGGCACACCAGAGGGCAGGGAACAACTACAGGCAGACCTGGACAGGTTGGACATATGGGCACAAAACAATACAATGCAATTTAACAAGGAGAAATGCAAAATGCTGCACCTAGGGAGGGAAAATGTCCAGCACACCTACTGCCTAGGAAATGACCTGCTTGGTAGCGGAAAGGGATCTTGGAGTCCTAGCGGACTCCAAGATGAACATGAGTCGTCAGTGTGATGAAGTCATCAGAAAAGTAACTGCACTTTATCATGCATCAGCAGGTGCATGACAAATAGAGCCAAGGAGGTGATATTGCCCCTCTATCGGGCGCTGGTCAGACCGCAGTTGGAATACTGCATGCAATTTTGGGTGCCACACTTCAAGAGGGATGTGGATAACATGGTGAGGGTCCAGAGAAGGGCCACTCATATGGTTAAGGGCTTGCAGGCCAAGCCCTATGAAGAGAGACTAGGGCACCTGGACCTCTTCAGCCTCCACAAGAGAAGGTTGAGAGGCGACCTTGTGGCTGCCTATAAATTCATCATGGGGGCACAGAAGGGAATTGGTGAGGCTCTACTCACCAAGGCACCCCTGAGGGGTCACAAGAAATAATGGCCATAAGCTAGCAGAGAGCAGATTTAGACTGGATGTTAGGAGGAACTTCTTCACAGTTAGAGTGCCCAAGGTCTGGAATGGGCTCCTAAGGGAAGTAGTGCACTCCTCTACCCTGGGGGTCTTCAAGAGGAGGTTAGATAGGCATCTGGCTGGGGTCATCTGAACCCAGCACTTTGTCCTGCCTATGCAGGGGGTCGGACTCGATGATCTATTGAGGTCCCTTCTAACCCTAACATCTATGAATCTATGAATCTATTCTTTTTCATGTTCATATATACATGCTACTCGGTGGCTAGATAACATTTTTCATCCATACAGTGTGCGGTATGGGACTGAGTATGTAGACATGGCTTTTATGGTAGCAATCCTGAAACCTGTACAATGCAGTGTCAACAGGCCCTTTGAGGCCAAATGGGTGGAATAGAAACTGAGGCCTCATTGGCAATGAAAAATATTGTGTGCCACTAGTTTTTCATATAACATACTGAGGATCTAATCCTCATCTCTCAAAGACAATAGGATGAATTTATTACCTTAGATTTTAATCATAACATGGTGGAGGCCTCAATAAAAGGTATCTCTGACAACTGATATTGCTATCTTCCTTGCAACATATAAAATATGTATGAAGAAGGTATTTCATTATTAGTCATTACATTCTATATGCTATCATTTATCATCATCATGTGTATATTTGCACAATATGAAAAGTAGATTGTTTGCCTTAAACTAGCTAGGTATCATAGAATGGGAGAAAGTTATATTAAACTAATTTGATCTATGAAAAAAAATACAATTCTTTTACAGACCTGCAAATATTTTCTTGGAAAAACTGAAAGAAAATCTAATTTTTCCTGAAACTGCTCTATATTCCCTCTCAGGCACTGGGGACTAAACTAAACCTTTATACTTTGGATTCATATTTGATTTAAACAGACCTTTTATCACCATGCCTTACTGTACTATTTAAATGTATATAATAGCACTCCATGCTATGGTACTTTGCTGTGGAGTTTTTAAAATCTAAATAAGCAAATATAGTTTCAGAGAAATCCACACCTGAGGGAGATGTCTATGTAAATATTATCTATCCTATGTAAGAGATAGAAGCAGTCCCTTCCTTTCAACCTTCTGCTTTCTCCTTCCTTCTCCCCACCCCCAACTCCATCTTTATTCCCCCGCCTCTGAAAAAATCCACATTATGGAGTGTGAAGACATACTATTTCATATTTTCTCCTGCTTTCTCAGTAGCTATTCAATGATTACTTAGAATAGGAAATACAGCCATACTACTTTTCCATGAATTCCTTCTGGAATTTCTATATTTGTGAGAAATTGAAAGATAAAAAGCATCTGGGAGCCGCTACAGCAAGGGATAGAGATCTGTGTATCAAGGCTTCTCTGGATCCTACAATAACAACAGGCTACACTGAGCCCATAAAACAGATACAAGGGCTGTGAACAAGTGCTCTTTGCTTCCTCCAGCTCTTCTGGAATTTTTAAAACTGGGAATTAGGAATATATCAAAAGAGGCCAGCCTATAGCACTGAAATTATTTGGTAG